CTGTTGAGAGGCACATGCATCTGAGAGATCAACACATGGTTGCACAGTTGGTGTCACCAGCAGGGCTCTGGCTGCTTTGACCTTGGGGTGGTGTTCCAGGAAGATGGATTGCTGGGAAGGGATAGGTCCACTTGATGAAGAGAGGGAAGAGTGTTTTTGCATACAGGCTTGCTAACCTAGTGAGGTGGGCTTTAAAACTAGGGTCATCAGGAGATGATGACCAAAGTCGAGAGATAAGTAAAGAGGCTAGAGACCTGGATAAAAACAGTAAAGGGAAACCATAATGGAAACCTTAACATTGTCCTCAGGGAGAGGATAGAACAGTCAGTTAGATGCTTGAAATGTTTATAGTTAATGCAAGAATGGGAAGAATGGAAGGTCCTAGTACAATTACAGAATTATGATGTAATTGGGATTACAGAGACGTGGTGGAATAATTCACATGAGTGAAGTATGGTTATTGTTGGGTATATCTTGTTTAGGAAAGGTATGTCCTTTTTTCCCTCCCCCCTCAAACCTGTGTGTTCAGAGGTGCAGTATGAAATGGAAAGTAGGTGTATTGAAAGCCTCTGGGTAAAGGTCAGAGGGGAGAGCAGCAGGCAGGATGTCATGTTAAGCCTCTGCTACAGGCCTTTTAAATCGGCAGAAGGAGGTGGATGAAACCATCTTTAAATACACTTTGAACCCTAAGTTTCACCTCTAGCAGGGAGGTGAAACTTGACAGTGTGGCTTTCAAGGCAGGGGTTGAAAAGTCCTGGGGGTGGAGGAGCACGCACACTGAGAGCCAAAAGTCAAAGGTCCACACAACCTCTTGGTATCTGGCAACCCCTCTGCTCCCTGAAAAGGCATTGTGGTTTGGATACTCTTCCACTCCCTGGTGGACTTTCTGTAGCAGTGCAGTCCCTAAAGGTGAAGGAGGAATCTAGTTAAGTTGGAGTGGGTTTGCTGCATTCAAATTATTCTCAGCTTATTCGTACATAGCAATTGGAATGGACCAACTGCTGTCTTTAACATGTTCCCTTTTTGTAAGGGCTTCAAGGGTTTGTGCATGCATACCTTAACTTACACAAGAATCTTGCGTGCTGTTTCTGAGAGAGTCAAAGGAATCCATACAAAGGTTTTTTTCAGATTTCATTATCTAGCTCCTCTTACTTTCTAGCTGGTAACTTAACCTTTCCCTAAAGAGCTCACAAATTACCTTGATGTCCTGAAATTGTACAGTGCGCAAACTGGGTTATCCTGGTCCCTGCCTGAGGTATTTGAGTCCTATGATCATACAAGTACTATAATATTATGTTGTCTATCACTGGCAGATGAACACCTTACAGATGAAAGAAACTGCTCTTTGAAGCGCACTTGTGATATATGGGAGTAGTATTTCCATTTTTACCGATGGAGACGGTGTTGCGTGACTTCAAGATGTCTGAGCAGAGTCCGTAACTAAACTTGAGTGTTTTAAATCTGCCCTATACCTTAACTGCACAACCTTCCTCTATCTCCTTCATGCATTGTCTTATTTGACTTGGCTTTAAACATAGTTTGGGTCCATCTGCACTATGTTTAGAAACACTGAAGTGATCAACTCTAAGTCTTTTTGTCCCTGCCACATGTAGCAGGCACATGGTTGCCCAGGTTTGTGGTAGGATATCCAAATATGTTGCCAGCCTGTGAACACTGTCTGAATGTTGTTTGTCCTGCTGAGTTACTGTGGAATTAGCTGCTCAGATTCTTCAAGATTAAAACGTATTAGGCAGTGTGTGATGGGTGCAAATACAGGAAATCTTTGTTATTCGCGGTTTTGGCATTCACAGTTTCAACTATTCGCGAACGCCAAACTCGCATTTTAAATGCACTTTATACATTTCCAGGGGCTCCTCAGGAGCTCTGTAGTTGCTGCCGCCAGGCTCCCACCACTGGAGCCGTACCCCCGCCCCCTCCGGCCACTGGGGGCACGGTGCTCATGAAACATGCAGTGCCTTATTCATAGATTTTGCTGTTCATGGGGGATACAAGAACGTATCCCCTGCGAATGGCAAGGGTCACCTGTACATGAATATCATCATGGCAGAAATAGTATGTTGCACATGCTGAGCAGTGATATGGTAACTCGCACAAGTGAGGCTTCTACTTACAGTAGTGTATTTGAAAACTATAAAATATGGATAGCACCTTGGGAAGGAATTGGTTTATTGACCTATTTGTTGGGGCATTTTAATCCTATCATAAACTTCAGCAGTTAAGTTTTGTTGTATTTGTAAATGTGTCTTAAAGATAGAAGTCAGGGGCTAGCAATCTTTCTCTAACAGCGGGCCAGCTCTTGCAATACTGCTGGAGACTGCCAGCCCCACTGTTCCTGTGCCAGCCTTCCCAGCTCCGCTTTCTCACACCTCTTGGATGCTCCCCTAAGAATGTGCTGCTGAAAAGTGGGGCAAACAGCATTTGGAGTGGGGCAAATCAACCTTGAATTTCATCTGCCCTTTAGTTACCCATTCACTCAATACTGCAAGATCCTTCTGTAGTTCCTCACAGTCCACATTTGATCTTTACCAATTTGAATACTTTGTCATCTGCAAATTTGTCCACCTCACTACTCGCCCCTTTTTCCAGATCATTTATGATTATATTGAACAGCATGGGTCTCAACATGGATTCCTGGGGGACCCTATTGCTTATTTCTTTCCATTCTAAAGGTTACTAATACTTTAAATTTCAATCTATAAAAATTGAGATTATGTTCACCCTAATTAGGAACATAACTTTAATCTAGGTTGGTCACATGGTGTAAGATTTTAAAAGAATAGGACTTGTACGAAAAACAAAATGAATACTTAATTGACCCAGATAGGATCTTAAGGCACCCCAGAGTGCTCTGGCACTATGGTTGAGGATTACTAAATTAAGCCAATGATTATTCATCTCATTGTATTTCAACTGGCTAAGACTTTGAATTAATACTTCACTGGTACATGTGGTGTGTCTGCATTCCCTGCTTTTGGAAAGTGAGCCTATTGTCATTAGTTATATCTCAGAAAATACAAAGGCTGGACATGAAAACTTAACTGTAACATGCTTATTGTTTGCTGATGGGCACTTGAAATGTATCAAGATTACAAGACCATTGTAAATGCTTTATTTCAATGTTGTGTGATTTTTTTGAGTCTTCAGATCTAGTGAGTATATTTTCCCCCCTTCTCTTTCCTAAATACTTCTGTCTTGGATTTATTTTTATGTCTCTAATTGGGTTCTTCCTAGCTTTTTTTCATCTGCATTTCTGGTGCGTTAATTAAACTGTGACTTACACAGGAGGGGAAAAATGTCCTGTCCAAAAAAACCCTAAAACTTTTTAAACGCTATTGAGGAATTTTACTCAACCCCCTTGTCCCTCACCACCCCTCCCCTCCCCTCCCCCCCATATTATTTTTACCTGGAAGATGCTATCTATGTATGACTGCAGAACTAGGAGCATGAGCAGCAAGTAGCAAGCAAGAGTAATCAGATAACTAGAGAGTATTCACACTATATATTTTTTTGTGATTGGTTAACTGAAGTACCAAAAAGTATATAGAAGGAAAAGGAAGAGCACTTGCTCTTCTAAAATTCAAGATCATTGCTTTTCAGTTAATGGTGAGAGATCTCAATCTGTCATATGTTTGTGTCATTTATGGAAAAAGGACCTTTTTAATTCTGAGGTCAAAAGCAATCTGAAAAGAAGCATTTTGAAGGAAAGTGGAGGCCCACTGAGCAGAAAGGGCACGGGCCATATTTTTTTTTTTTTTCCTATTGGAAGTTGCGTTTAAAGTGGCATGTCTTGATATGGTTATAGATTATACTATTTTATCTCCTTTCTCAAAGCAAAAGTCCATCTTTAAGCATGGGGCACAACTACCAGTCTGCTAACATAAATGAAGTTTTCTCCTTGTCTTCATTACCTTTTGAAATAGTTTGGAGATGATGATGATTTTTGTTTCAGATGTAATATGGGGCTAGGGGGGATGTTGAAGGAGGCTTTTTCTATATATGTCTGCTGTATTGAAATGAAAACCATGCACAGAAGATTAGATTAGATCACATCAACCTCTTAGGTGTGGCAGAATGAAATAGCACAGCTCAGAGGCAGGCCAGTACTTGTAACCAAACCACTGCTGCTGGTCCCTAGTACCGAGCCACATAGTGCTGTTCCTGTGCGCATGTGACTTGGAATCTCCTACTGTCAAAATGCTGCTGATAATCTGGGCTTCATAGGTCAAATGAAAATAGCTTGGTGGACTGGATCTGGCCTGTAACCTGCACCTGGTTCAAGTTAGATCAGTCCCCCAGCATGCTTTCCATCCCTGGGCTGGGCTGTGCTGTCTGCTCAAGCAGAGAATGCGGCGGCCCCCCCCCCCCCCCCCCCCGGCAAACCCCAGCTGGGGTCTGGGGCCAGAGAGGGGGATGTTAACCCCTACCCCCAAGTACAGAACTGCCCTGCCCTGTTAAACTTACTGCTGGCTGCAACTGTGGACTACAGATCCCAGAGGCACCTGGGAGCAGGAAGAGGAAGTGATGAGCAACCCTGCAGAGTCCTCCTGCTGTGATAATGGACAGCAAATCCTAGAGACCTCAGGGGCAGCAGGAAGAAACCGCAAACACAGCCCATGCTAATTACATACTAGAGAGCTGTGCTGTAGCACCCCCCACCCCTGCTCCTTGCTCCTGGCCTGAGCCACTGCAGGCATGTGACTGCAAAAAGTAAATGTGTGTTCACTTGTTAGTCAATTTATAATCTCTGAAGTTTAGACTAACTTCCAAAGACTGAGTAGATTCACCCTTGGGCTTCTTGACTGTTCTGTATTTAGCCTAGGTTATCAACCTCTGGATTAGACTATTGTTTTTCATCTTTGGAATGATTTGCGAGGTACCAAGTACTCCATGTGAAAAAAATTATAAATATTTTTATGACTTCTGACCAAAAAGCACGTTTTCTCTAGTAACACAGCTTTGCCTGTTTTCTCATTAGGTTGTTGAAGACTACGCTGGAAGATGGCAGGTTCCATTGCCTCAGCTTGAGGTGCTTCAGACAGCTCTTTGTTGTTTCACATCTGCTTGTGTATCGTTCCCAGCTGAATGTGAGCAGCACGTACAATATGTTTTGAGTAGCCTAGCTTTGTAAGTATCTCACTTACTATTACACTGTTTACATGTTAACTGACCAGTATTTTATCTCTGTAGTGAAATTGGGTGCCACCAGGTCATTTTGCTTTTTCTCTCTCCTCAAATATGTGGAACCAAACTCGTCCCTGGTGACGTTAAACCAAGCTCACAGAAATTTTAAATTTAATATATTTCTTTTACTTAAGAAATCTCTTCAACTTGCACATCTTCATAGGAGCTCATTTTAACAAAAGTAAACATCAACAGAAATGTGACCATCACCCTTTAAAGTAGCAATTCCCAGATCTGGGTTGTGATGCCAAGGGTGGCCATGATAGTTACAAATAACATGCCATAGGTTTTACAATCCTGCGTTCCCTGTAATCTGTAATTATCCAGATTCTTCCCATTAATTAATAGTGATTGGAATTTTACTCTATTACAAGTACTCACTCTGTGGTAACTACCTATGCTTGCCCTTACCCTGTAGGTATGAAAACTAAACTGAAGCAACTTAACCATGTTTGATTGGTAAGCTAACATGGTTTTACTCAATGGCAGGTGGTACCACACAGTAGCTGAGTTGTGGCTAAGCCCCTGCCCCACTGTTCAAGGGGCTTACGAATGGTGGTAGCTTTGCATATGGGCATTTCACAAAGTTATTTGCCTAGATGTGGTATTGTAACCCAAAAAGCTTTGGGAATTGCTTCAGGGAAAGTATCCTTTAGAATTTTAATTATGCTTTCATGCAATTTTTGCAACAAAACAGTGATGAAGACATTATTTTAAACAGAAATGGCAGTATTCTGGTCCCAAGTAGGAAGAGATGCAAAAAATAAATGGTATAATAAAAAGTAAATGTAAGTAAATTCTTATGTTGCAGAAGCCTTCAGTAAAGAGTTACTTGTTTCTTTTTTTAATCTGTGATCTTGCAAACACATTTTGCAAGAAGTATTTTTTTTCATGGTTGTCTGTTCAGAAGACCTTTACATATAAAGAAAAGACTTTCAGATTGCTGGTTCATGCATCTTATTGTTTTGACTCAGTAGAGTAGATTCCTTATTGCCGAAACATCAGAAGGGAGTGGAGAGAAATTCTGTCTTGTATTGCAGATTGTAGTTGGTCCAGACAATATTACATCTTGGCATCAGCAGATGGAGACAGGAAATAGAAAGCACTTGCAAAATCAGCCACCTACGCTAGTTCTGGCCTTGTAGATTGGTTAATTTCCTTTGTCCAGCAGGGGAAACAGCTCTGGCTTGCCAAGTTCATCTATTAAGTGTTGTTAATGGTTTTATGTTTTTCCTTTGGAGGCATTGGCTTGTGAAATTTTTTGTTAACTGTCACTTCTGTACATCTTGGCTTATCTCTTCAGAATGACCTGGTAGGCTTCTCCTTTTGATGAGCTTGTGAATGATCTGAACAAAGTTCAAAAGACCCATGCGTCTGCTATGCACTCTTAGTTACATCTGCTATACTTAAATGCTAGTGAAATTTTACAGAACAAATTAAATTCATTTCTCTGGGAATAACGTGGTTAAACTCTAAATGTGTTGAACTAGAAAAAAAGTTTTGTCTAGAAAGAGAAGGGTTCAAATATATGAGAAATTATTTGTACACACAAAATGGATGGGGAAGAGGTCACCATCCATCTCATTTCATGGGAAGTCATTGATGAAGCTTTTCACCAGTTGTTTGCTTGTTGGCTTCTCTGAAGCTTGTAAAAACAGAAGACAATATAAGACAGTTATTAATGTTTGTGGTACAGATACCACCTTCATGTGGTATCTGGAGCATAGTGCAGTACAGCCTCAGTCTTGACACACCTCTTTGTGCTACTGCAAGACATAATACATAACCATCACCCTAAATCTAGTGTCTTTTGTAATCTGGATTAGCTGCTAATCGGACATTTGGCTAGCTTCCTAAAAAAAGCCAGAAAGAGAGCCCATTGCTGCTGCTGTTACCCCAGTCAAATTTGTAATGTGGGTTTTGGGGTTGGATTGTTTTGAATTACTTCTTACCTCTCCTTGATGAAGAGCACAAACTCTAAAGTCGTATTTTTTTCCTCTGAAACTGATTTGCCCGTGTCTTTGATGTCATGTGACAAAGTGATTTTTGGACCTAGTAGTTACCTAGGAAACCTTGCCCAAATATGATGCTGACTGGTGGAGCTTTCCAGTGCTTTGCAAAAAAACGTTCCATACATTAAAGCCTCAGTTCTTGGGCTGGGGGGAAGAGAGAACAGGAACCTGTCTGACTCCATTTAGTCTCCATTCTTGAGCAGGGTTTCTGTTGTAATGGGCCAAAAAACAGTTTAGATCTGGGACTGGTGTTTTATCTGTTTATTAAGCCTACTCCTCTGATTCAAAGCATGAAGCAACACTTATAATCACATTAATACCACTCCTATAAACTGGGACCATTATTAAACAAACACACTAGCACTGTCTTGTGGTAACATCTGAAAGGCTAGTGTGCAAATTATCATCCATGTAAATACTTGCATGTAAAGCAAATATGGCATCACAATTGCACTGTAGGGCTTCACAGCAGAGCTGAAAATGAATACTGAGATTCTAGTTGTCATGGGCTATGCCACTCTTGAGGGGAAACTTTTGAGACAGTCTTGTCTGGTCTCTCTGTCTCGTCTCCCCTGTAGGGCCACTTGCATAAAGCGACACTTGCAACAAAGGAACTATTTACAGTTAAGTGTTCTCACACTGAGCCCCCCAAAATGTTCCCCACCCAAACTGCAGGATAGAAATCAGCCCACTTCAGCATCTTTGGTCACACTAATGTTCTTTTTTTAAGACTGATGACTTGGAAAGTCTTCAGTCTTAAGCTGGAGCCCCCTTTTAGTCTGGTGATGTGAGCATGCAGCACATAAGCTGATGCTGAGGAAATGTAATAATTATATCTGCAGTTAGCTTTGAATGGTAGAGAGAGGCTTTGTAACTTAAGATTTTTCTTAAAAGCCAAGTATAAATACCATGTGTGCTGTCCCCGATTCTAGCAAACATCTCTCCCAAGCAGTGTCAGAATTCCAGCTATGGGTGACTTTCAGAATAGTTGCATGTTCCCTGTAGGTAAAAAACTAACTAAATTTAATTCACTCATTATAGCCTTACCATGGAAACTCTGGTGGGCAGTATGAAGTATTGCTCTTTCAGTTAACCTGTATTCCCCATTTGCATTGAGATTTCGAGGACCAGTGTGCCCAAAAAAAGTCTTTCAACATAAAAGTGCAGAAACTTATACCTCATAAAAACTAAGAAGTCTAGCTAGAAAATCTTTCTAAAAAACCTTAACTTTTAAACAAACATAAACTAATATGATGCACCATTGCATAGATTTAGGTATACTGTAACTAAGTAGAAGTCCAGTCCTTTCAGTTATACCAGACATGTACCTCTGAAAATCTGTGTGTGTATATGTGTATATGTGTATATGTATATGTGTGTGTGTGTGTGTGTGTGTGTATATGTATATATGAAATGTTGTTTCCTTTTTTACAGAATTTCTTAGGAAGCAACCTATAGAGGGGGTTGTCAAGTTATACTAAGTCTTGATGTTGACCTTAAATCAGTAGTTTCTAACCAGTTACTTCCAGGCAGTATTCTTCCAGTGGGACCCCCCATTATTTATGGCTGCAGAAATTATCTGTAGAGCCATGTTTCTTCAAGCTGCTGGAGAGCAGTATGATGTTGCTCTTGCTGTTGCCATAGTGCAGTTAAGGTTGCAATTTGTTGCTTCAGTTCCTTATCATTCCTAACCAGGGCCATTCCTGGGGGCAGGGGAGCGAATCGGGCCACCTGCCTCGGGCCCCATGCTTTGGGGACCCCATAGAGGTCCTGCCATGCGCTCTGGCTGCTTGCTTGCTACCTCTCCCTCTCCCACCTCCTCCTCCTCCCTGACATCTGCTTATTGTTGAAGGAGCAGTAAAATATCCTCTAGCTTTGGAAATTTAATTTTAAAAGGCATAAAATAAGTGGTATTTTAATCTCTGCATAAACTAATGGCAGAATTAACAGCTATTAACAGCTCTTTCATTAAACAGCTGTTTAAGAAGCTCTGCATTTAGCTACTTTAAAGCTAAATGCCTACAGCAGCTAGACAGAATAGATAAGCAAATAGAAGGGTGATGAGTCTCCATCTGTGATCTAGGATCAGTCACCTGATTAAAGAGCCTAATGTTCCATCAACTCCAAAATCTGCTGAGGGAAAGGATGCTTGTGCTTCCACAGCATTTGCCACTGACATGCTCCTTGGCAAGTCCTCTGGTCAGAAGTAGAAAGTAGGGCAATAGCAGATGCACTGAAGCAATCTACAGATTTGGAAGGCAATACAATCTATATCTGCATTGAATTCATATTTCTAAGGATACTCCCCAAAGTCCTCTTAAAAAACTTTTCCTCGCAACTTAAAAGTGGCAGAAATTGACTTGAGTCCCCAACCTTTCTTCTCAGTTTTTATTCGGTGTTAGGGAAACTGGATTTTTTTCACTATCATAATGATGAGGTTGGTTATTTTACTCCTATTGTTGCAGTATCAAACTGTCAATGTATACTTTTTTTATTAAATTGTGGGGTTTTTTTAAGGAACTAAAATGTTAACTTATATAAGCAAAGGCAGTGGAACCATGAAGAAATCTACCCAACTTATTTAAACTAAATTCCTAGAGAAACTGAAGTAATGTTAAGTACTGCTTTGCAGTTTTACTCGGTTTTGCTCACTCTATTCTAAGGAGTCCAAGAGGTCCACCTTGGAAGTTTATAGTCTTCCCAAAATGGCTATATTAATGGCTAATGGGATATCTTTAGTTCCTATCTTGTTGCTACACTGGCTGTGGGTTCATGGGATTAGAGCACATTATATAGCTCAAGTTTTCCTTTTTTTTTTTCTTTTTTTTTTTTTTTTAAGTCTTCTGTTGGAAAGGAGTTGAATAAAGGGAGCACACGAACTCTGCATTTAGTTGAGAAGCAGTTTGAAATGTATCAATTATATATTCCTTTTTGAATTACCGTTTCAATAGCCACAGCATATGACCACCTAAAATGAAGATAACCCAACTACTTCAGGTACTAGAAGTAATATAGCCACATTGGTTTAGCACTCTTTCTGAACTTTTTTTTTTATAAGTATACTTTTTTTTTTTTTGGTAGGAATAATTGACCTGTTTGGAGTTCTGTGCTCCTGCAGTTGTGCTACTTGAGCTAGCTATATTTTTTCTGCATTGTGCTAGGGTGTAACCGAGGAAGCTGAACTTGATCTCATTTGATTCTAAGTCCAGTCCTTTGTCGTACTTCCAAGAGAGCCTGCCTCGGACGAGACAAAAATAGGTACCAACTGTTAGGTCAGTTTTCTGGTACAGCAGCTTCATTTAGGCACGTGACATAGACAGTGAGTAAGTAGTGACGATACAAAATAAGGAATGGAAAATCATATTGTGGTTAAGTTAATAAATTCCATCTCTTAATATTCTTCTTTCTATCAAATGTCACAAATGAAAGCATCAGCCAGAGACTTGTGGAAAACAAGACTAATCTACAAGGCTTATATATGTTAACTGGCTTGGTGTTAAAGTCTAGGGAGGATTTGCTGTTTGAATTTTCAAATACCTAAATCTCTTTTAGATGCTGATATTCAGACTTAAAGAAGTGCATCTTCCAAGCATGAGGTTTGGCCAGTGCATGTGGTAGTTCCTGGTTAAACCTCTGCTGAACAAGGAAAATTCCTTATGCCAGTTGTCATTAATGAGCCTCAGAAACCTTGAAAGTTAGGCACATTATTGAACCCTGTTCTTGGTGTTGTGGCTTTTAGCTACAAATACAAATAATGCCATAGAATTGCCATGTTGAGACTTCTGGGAGAAAGCATCACCTCACTGAGGCTGGTAGAAGCAATTTCAGCTTTAGTATTTTTAGGAGTCAGAGGGTTTATGCTAAAGGTTTTGGTTTTTTTCCTTTACGTGTTGCCAAATATATAATTGTTCTTTACAAAAGCATGCAAGTGCCTTGGGGTTTAGATATACTTGTTGGGATCTGAGATTTTGGAAATATGTGGTCTCTTATTATCATGTTCTTAACAGCTGTTTAACTCAAACATTTCAGAGAAGCAATGCCTGTTGAACCTTTTAAACAAAACTCCTCTGCTCAGTCTTTATGGTTTGTATTATACTTATAATTCTTACAATCCTGTGAGTTACAAAGCCCTCAGTTCTGTTTCCCAGTGCATCCAAGATGTGCATTTTAATTTTACAGCCAAGTACTGAATTAACAAGCAGAGGATTGACGGGACTTTCTTATGCATTGTTGGTGATGCTATCTGAAGTGCTTAGCAGTGACTTCATTTTTGCTAACTGCTTTTACTGAGACAGTCTGATCAGTTCCATGTACTTTAGAGAACCCTACCTGATTTCTGTGTAGAATCTTTTTAGAATGGTTGTCTTTAAATAATTTGAATTCTAGTTCTGAAAAGTTGTAGATGATTTGTGGATGTGTACTGTTTATTTTTACTTGTTTCTACTTGCATCTCTTTTAGGAGTTTTTTTGAATTGCTGCTGTTCTTTGGAAAAGATGAGTTCTACGAAGATCCTTTAAAAGACATTTTAGGCTCAATTCAGGTAAAATTAATCATTGCCACCTTATGTTTAGTAAAATGCAGTTTTCATTTGTTAAAGTAACCATCCTGCTTGTAGATAAAACATTTGTGAATGTTAGAGAGAAATATTTGATGGCATAGGTCAACGCAGGGAAGGAAAATTATTAATACCTTTTGATTTTGATTTTTTTTTTTTTTTTGTATTGAACAGGAATGTTTTTCTTAAGGTTGCAACCATTGATCTTGCTTGCATCAAATCATGAATTAAGTAGACCATAATTCCAGTTTTGCCATGATAAATGTCTCTTCCCTTTTTAAATTAAGGTTGTATTTTTCCTTTTTTTTTAAGGAGATCAAAACTAGTTTTTAGCTGCTTTGCTTTTGGTAATCTCTAACCAGAACTTAATATCCACCAAGAGATGTAGTATTCTAAGCTTATAACTTGCTAAATCAACAGTTTTTTTTCTCCCATAGTTCAGATAGTGGGTTGATTGCTAAACTGCTACTGTCTTTAATTATTGCACTATTTTGTACTTAGACCTCTTTGCCTAAAGTGGTAGGTATTGAAGAATACTAATGTTTATTGTTTATAATTGTACAAATCTATGTTAAAAATAGGACTTGATGCCTCTGCAACTGTAGCCAGATGCTAAAGCACACGGGGAAGGAATTGCAGCCTAAAGAATGCTACAGTTTATATGTAGGGTCTCCTTTTGTATGAGTGCTTTTGGACTATTCTGTTAATATTTATGGCACCCATGGTGAGTGGTGTACAGGCCTCAAATGATGGATCTTTGAGGAGAACAGTATGTTGGGGAAAAAATAAATAGCAAAACTTTTTTTTCTACCTTTAAACTTGGTGTTTGTTTTTTTGTATTTTTGAAAAATGCATAAAACCAGTTAAAATACAAAAACCAAAGGGTACTTTAAAGTGTATTGATCAGATTCATTAAAACATCCTTCAAAGGCTCTTTCTCTTGCTGAGGAAGCTTGTAAGACTTATTTTTTTAACAGGATGTGTAAAAGTGTACTTAATTTAAAAAAAATAAATAAATAAAAATGCATGTTTCAGTTCCTTGGCTATCAGATGAGTTACTTGAATGTAGTATAAGAAATTAGGAATAAGTTGATACTAAAACTCTCTACAGCAGAAATGAACATCAGAAGTTGTTCTTCAGTTGGTATGAAATTATTTTCTTGTACGGTAAAAGTTAATGGAGAGAAATCCTCTTCAATTGAATGACCTGAGAGAAAATTAAAGCACTGTTTGACTTCCCTCTTCAAACTTTCAGTACTGTTATGGATGATGGGAATTGGGTACACAAAGGCTATTATTTGATCCTGATTTAATCATTTACATTAATTATTTCATCAGTGTGTAGAATTTTTGACAGAAATGTCTGACTTACATTTTAGCTCAAAGGTGTTAGTTCTGGGCTATGCATATTCCAATATGCTAATTCCTTTAAGAATTAGTAGTACATAGTTGGTGTCACAGCATCTCCTTGTGTTACAGACCTTGTATACATTGATTTCTGCCAACTGAAGATTTGGTCACTGGGGTTTGTTAGATACCTTTAGTTGGAGATGAGAATTCAGCTCACCCATTGTCAAGGAAACAGCACAAGGTTGCCATTAATGGATGTTGGCAAGATTTCTGCATAAAGGAAATGAGATTGGTGCCTTTTAGGTTTACTATATAGTCACAGTCAACATGTGACGCTAGGTGTGATATTGACTCAATGCTGAGCATGTAGATATACTTTTGACTTTTAGTTATTTAATGATTCAGTATTTGTTTCTCTCACTTGTTCTTTAAATGTAATGCTTTTTTAAAAAAATCATAGGAATGCCAGAACCTCCTAAGCAGATATGGAAATATGAACCTGGAATTGGTGACTCGAATTATCAGAGATGGTGGACCATGGGAGGATCCAGTGTTACAAGCAGTTCTTAAAGCAAAGCCTGTATCTCAGGAGTTAGGTATGTCATTTAATAAATATATAGTTTTGAAACATTTTAAAGTATTGTTTGTATGTATTTGAGGCAACATGACCTAAGTAACATCTTGAATTTATACATGCAATTCTCTGGTGTTTCATTAAACCAGTTGTTTAAAAAGAAAATGAAAGCCACTTTGCTTTCTTTGTGCTGACTTAAGAAGTCCTGAGGTGGTTGCTAAATTGACATAAGCATATATAATATGAAATGCAAGTTAGGTTTTTACCTACAAAAGAGCTTGACCATGATTAGCTTGTTGATGTACTGAGAATAGCTTGTCCTGCAGACCAGTGCTGTCCAGCAACTTCCTTATACTCTCCAATTTGTCTGTGTTCATCTGCTGGCTCTTGCATAGATTGTAAGGCCTTTGTGATGACAAGATCTGTTTTTTCATTTTGTTTGTATAGTGCAAAGATTCTCAACCAGGGTGCTATGAGAGCCATGTAAGGGTGCCACAGCACTGCACAATATTAGCACTGTTAGGTGTGTGTGAACACTAACAAATACATGCAGAGGTGACTCCATAGTGTCAATAACATTTGGACCTGTTGTAGTCTTTCTGAATTCTTTGCAACAGAAGAATTGCTCTATTGACACATCATTTCTCTGACAGTGTCAAGCAGGAGGTTTCTGACAGGCCATGGAAACGAAATGAGTTGTCTTTTCAGTGGTGGGTCCAGAACTAAGAGGCAAATTAGTAGGATAATAAGGGAAAGCTTTGACACTGCAGAGGTGTCCAAGGACTTGTTTCCAGAGCTGACAGTAGTTAATCTTTCACTATGATTTAAATCAGTGGTCTCCAAGTTTAAGTAGGAGATCACCTTTGGCCTTTAAAAGCAACCCGAGATCTACTGTGCACTGCTGCCACCCCCTCCTGCCCAGCAGGTAAGTCTGTGGGGAGGGAAATGGTGGGGCAGAATAAGGCAGAAAATATTACTTGGGGGTGTGCCTCCCCAGCAGGTAAGTTCTGCCCAGCTAGGGCCCCACTCAGTTTACCTCTGCTCCTGCCTTGGTGACACTCCCTCACTGCGGGGTCCTCAGTCTAGCCCCTTCCCCTTCCCTCCCCCATGGACTGACCTGCTGGGCTAGGGCGCATGCATGCATGTATGTATGCATGCATGCATGCATGCAGGCACTTAGTCCCCCATCCCAGCTTCAGATCGACTGCAAGAGGTTCCAAGATCTACTGCAAGAGGTTCAGAGATCTACCTGTGGATTGGGATCCACTGGTTGGTGACCACTGGTTTAAATAGTAGCAAAGCAGGTATGAGGGGAGGGACCATTGTTGGCCAGTTGTGCATCACAATACAGTTTAGACAAGGATCCCTGGCTGTGATGACTTGTTGATAAACCATAAGCAGAAATAGTAGCTAAAGTCCAAAAGTATCTAGGTATTTACAGTAATGGGAAACCTTTATATTGGAGTTAGACTTGGCAGTCCTTCGTGGTGCCTGGTACTTCTGTCACTCCCAGATAACAGTAAGCTGGTGCTAGTCTTTGTTGCAGGCTGCTACTCACTTTTTTTGTAGCTAAATATTTTAATTCCTAATACTTTTTCTATTGGCTTTCTCTAATATCCCTGACATGGCAGTGCACCTTCACACTACTTTCTTAACTTTCAAGAAAAATCTCAAAAAAAGGGAGGGGTGGGCAATTTATATCAATTGCCCCCAAGGTGCTCACTTAAAGCAGGAGTTTCATTGAGCGTAGAACATTCTGACTCCCTTGTGTGAACAGTTTTGTGTACTTCTTACATAGTTGGACTTCATTTGATGTTTATCTTACAAAAACGTAACTGAATTGCTCCCTGTCATCCATTTGCCTATAGAACTGACTCGGGTATTAATTTTTTTTTTTCTTTTCAACTTCTGTAATGCAATCATACCACAAAACCTAAGGCCTCTGGTGCACAGTCATTTAATGGTACAATGGGATCTCATCCCCAGTTCCAACTATCACATCTCCTGCCATGCCACACATGAATGGCAGGAAGTGAGATTGTTGGGATTAGGGATTGAGAACCCCCATCATGGTATTTCTATTTGCCAGTGCAAGGAGCCTGGGATCATAAAGTGTTCACTGGGAGTGGGAGGCAAGAGCTTCCCCTGTTGAGGACTTCAGACCCTACCAGGAGCCTCTGATCCCCAGCAGCCCAGCCAAAGCTGCCAGACAGAGTTCAGAGTCCCTGGCAGCAAAGCCCAAGGAAGCTACATCAGTGTATTCTTTAAAGCTCTAGGTGCTGGCACGTAGATAATAGAGAGTCTCTGCTTGCTGTCTGGAGCTGAGCACCGGGGGGAGTTTTAAAAAATATAGCTGCAGCCCAGCTGCCTGCATGCTCTTCAAAGCTTCCCATGCACTGGTTCCCACAGCATGGGGCACGGGGAGCTGAGAACTCATGGGTCCCCAACTGCCCATGCCCCGTATCACGAAGCAGTGCCCACAGCTGGGGGGCAGGGATCTTCCAGCTCCCCAGCTGTTGCTTCTGTGGGTGCCCCAGGAACTTAAAAAGCGAAAAACCAACCATGTAACTGGGGCTCTAGGTCGGGAGACGAGCCTTGAAGTTGGGCGCTCAGCACCCCCTGATTTGCCTCTGGGGATTGGGTGGGGGCATCAGGTTCAGAATCCAGTGTTGCCCCCCAACCCGGTTTCACTGATCAGGTAGGGGACCATTGTGTCTTGGATCCTAGGGCTGCCTTATGCCAGATCCCTACACTCAGCTGAGCATTGGGATCTGTCATGTCAGCCCCAGTATGCTTCATTTTGTTTAAAGCATGTGTAGCATGCTCCAGGGACAGCCCTAATATCCCCTTGTGGCCATGTGACTCCTGCCTCCCTACTCTCTCTACCCTCCCTTTTTCCTCATTTGTGACACCTTGATGGATTTATTATGATGTTAAGGGAAGCTGCCCCAAGGTTCGCAAGTGAGCCCTTGTTCACTTTGGCTGGCTGGTACCTCTTGTACCTGGCTGGCCCCACTCATGCCCCTTGGGCACCAAGATATGGCATCTGTCCATGCCTCAGAGAGCTGGTTGCCTTATGAGCTGTATTTGTGGCTTCCTTCCTCCCCTATAGCCATGCCTATGCCTTACAAAAATTACTCTGTGTTCATTGGAAAGGGCCACCTGCCTTCAATGCAGTTTTTGCCTTTTAGGCCTTGAACCTGTGTTCGTGTCTCAGCCTTCCTGGCCTTGGCTCTTCTATTCTGGCTCTGCTCCTCAGCCCAGGCCCACTGCCCTGGACCTTGGCTCCTGTGCCCCAGACCCATCTTGTCCCTGTATGCTCTGGGCCCCTGGCCCTTGTCTTGTGCTCATTGGGTCAGCCCTCAGGATCCTTGACCCCAGGCCAGGCTGCTTGCTCTCTTAGCCCTTGGGATCGCTAACCCTGGGCTAGGCTGCCTATCTCAGAGTGCCCCACCTAGCACCCCGCTATAGCCTCCACTCTAGCTACAATCTGGTCCTCTGGTATCAGATTCAGAACGTAACAGAAACACAAGCAAGTCGCTTGACCAACAAAGGGCTCCTATAGACATGCAGGTAGCTGGCTCCAACACGCCAGAAATCCAGCGCGTCGGAGCAGACTTGATTAATTGAGTGGACTAGCTTAATCAAGTCTGCTGGAGCATGGAAATTAACGTACTCCAGCAGCCTCCTCTGTCACATGTACGAGCATCCCCACACTGAACAATGGTAGTGGGGTGCTTTGAACTAAAGCTTGTTCTGTGAGCTTTAGTTCAAAGTGCCCTGCTAGTTTTCAGCATGGGGAATGCTGATACACATGGTGTTCAGGTGCTTTTAATTAGCACAGCTTGCTAATTAAGGCACTTCCCACAGCATATGTAAAATGCCCTAAAAGTCTTCCCCACTCAGGGTTAAGGTTGCCTGCAAACCACATCTCCCTTGGATCCCTCTCAACCCAGCTCGCTTGGGTAGCTTGATGCCTGTCTGTCAGATTGCCAGCTTGTGCTTGGGCACTGGGCTTATGCACCCAAAGCCCCACCTCTTCCAGTCCTGTGGCTTCCCAGCCCCACAAACTGGTTTTCACATGGAGTTGATGCCTCCTCCTGCTGCTGCAGCCATCTGTTCTCCCCTCTTAAAGTGACAGGGGTTGTGATGCAGTGAGCCACAAAAATGGTTAGATACATTTTATGCGTGCCATTTTCTTGTGCTGCATGGCTATATTATCCTGCCATAAATTGGCTTTAACTTGTGCCTGGGTTACTACTTACGATGTGATTAACACCTTAATTGCATCTTAAATGTAACCTGTACCAGGGATTTGTTTCTCACATACAGTACACACCTTTTCCCCCCCAAAATTAGCATCCATGTCTAATGTAGGGAAGCTAATTTTCTGGTTGGGGTTGGAAGTACCCTGATTTGATTCCTGTTCTACTGGTACATATTACTGTGTGGACTGCTGAGGGAATTTTTTGACCTAATGGCTCATTGTTCTTTACTCTGCAGGTGTTAATGCTTATCCCTCCTTTTTTTTATGGTGTTGTTCCATTAATCAAGCTAACCCTTCTTAAGACAATTTTGCTCTCTTCTAGTTGTTCCTGATCTTTCACAAACTTCTTAGATCTTTAGCATAGTTTTTAGCTCTTTTCAAAGTTGTAGGTTCACCCATTGGGACCAGTTGCCAGCAGCAGTTAGAGATTCAGTTTTAGTTATGCAGGAAAGGGAGTCAGATCAGCTGAAAATAAGGCTGTCTCTGCTTTATGCAGCTGTTACTCCTCCTTTTCATTCTACCTTTCAAAAACAAGGTGTGTATTGTATTTGGGAGCGTGTTATATTCAAGAAAATATGGTATTACATTTTTTAAGTCATGTTGAGAGATTGTATAAACCATACGTGCTGTGCTGCTGTTGGTCCCTCAGCTTGCACAAAAAGGGCAAGTCCAACATGAGCTTGCTTGTTCTCTTGTACATTGCAGTAGTATTTTCAGAGGACCACAAAGAGGGGGGTTCTTAGAGAAAAACTTGGCTCTTTCTCCACTGGAGAAAGAGCAAGGCCAAAACAGTATTTTACTGGAAACAGGAAAAGACTGAGAATTTCGAGAGCAGCTCTCTGAAAAAGCCTGCCAGGATTTGAAGAAGGGAAAATCAGAGGAGACTTGAACACAAAGGCTTTCTGCTCTCCACCTTTTAAGCTTTATAATTAAGACATCAAGGTTCTGCATAGTCTTTGCTTGGACAAGAATAGATAACCTTTCTTAAATTAATGTTACATTTGCCCAGTTGCTACTATAATTAGCTTTTTTTTTTTCCTGCTTTGGTATTAAAGCCTATACATGTATCCCCAGGGACTTTAACCCTAGAAAGGAAGGGCTCTGGTGGAATTAATCAGGTTGAAAAGCACCCAGTGCTTGTGAGAAGTGATTTTTCGAGCAACTGCAGCCATCCTTACTAGTGACAGAGTCAATAGCCAAGAATTGCTGTTATAAATTAAACTCTGGTCTTGAGGGTGCTGCATCTTGAGGACGTGTCGCCTAAGGCTGTACAGTCTGAAAATGGGAACTCTATTTATAACAAGTCTGAGTAATATAGCAGACAGATCTTTGCTTCCCAGTCAAAGGAAATGGATGACATACCTGATTATTATGCATGTTAAAAGTCCTTTATTTACAGGAGCAGAAGCACAAGTTAAAAGTGAATCTGCTCCATAATTTGTCAGGTCAAATCTATTTGCCTCCTAAATGGATGAAGATTGCAATGGTTTGGTTATCTTGGGTGTATTAAAATGGACTCTAAAAATGCAGCTAAGACTAAAAGCACCTGGGGTTCTATGAGGAGGAGCATTCCTCATTATCATGTTCCTGCAGTTAAGTGAAGGTAGAAGGCCTTGATCTTTCCTAATGTCTCTTTGTTTCTACGTTCTGCTAACAGAGATCCATAGATTCATAGACGCTAGGGCTGGAAGGGACCTCGGAAGATCTTCGAGTCCAGATGTCTATGGGGAGTTAAATGTCCACCTTTATTTCTTTAATAGCTTTTAAAGAATTATTTGCGAGTTCAGTCCAAAATCTTCTGGTTTTTAATATAGGAATAATACTGCTTCAGAGCATTTTTGTCATATGGACATTAGACTTATGTGATAATATTCAGGAAATTAAATCTGGATTAATACACCAATGATTTGGGCTGTTGCAGCAGTGGCGGGCTGTGTAGCCATTGTAATTTAGAAATAGCTTTACTTTGTTTATATCAGTCTTCCTTTTTTTCAGTTGGTCATAATGTCTCATATTTTGAAGATACCAATTTTCCATGTCACATTGGGTTTTAAATTAAAGCAAAAATCTGTCTAGCTGCTTTTGCATTACATAAGTTTATGCAGAACCACTGTGTACATCCTTGTCTTGTTTGTCCATGATAAATCGATTTCTCAGCATTAGTCTCTACCTCAGTGAAGGATCAAGGCTCCATTGTCCGAGACAGGGGTGGTCAGCCTGCAGCATGGGTGCTGTGAGCAGCCTGTGTGTGTGTGTGTGCGTGTGGCCCTTGACAGATTGGAAAAGGAACAGGTAGTATTATGGCAGATATGGCATGAAGCATAAAGCAAAGCATCACATCAGGCACAGAGCTGGAAGCTGAAAGCAGAGCAGCAGGTTTAAGGCCAAATGCACAGTCTTAACTTGAGTGCTGTCCGTGACTCAAATTAAGCAAATCTAACAGTCAGGTCCACAGTTGCAAAGGTATTTATGCACTTAAAGATGCATCTGGGTTTCTAAATGCCCCTAAACTCTTTGGTTAATGTTGCAACTTTTAATTTTGTGGTATGTTAGTAGTTTTGATTCTGTTTTTCATCAAAGAAAACTTTAATGTAATACATGATGTATCAGTAAAAATAAGATTAATTTAATCCTTGTTGCAGCAAAGCAAGGACTTTTTTTTAATGAAAAATAAACTGTATGGAAATAAGCTCTATGGTACTGTTACTGTGCAGTCTGAGGGAGTAAAGGTTACTTTTGCCTGGAAGTGATGTTAATATTGTGAGAACTATATTGGAAGATTTGAAGTTTCAGAGTTACTTAGTTTGATCAATGATCCAAACTGACTATGGAACTATGACCGTTGGAATCTGCAAAACAAAAACAGACTTAGTTGCATTAATTAAAATAAAATATTGGTTATATGAACTGAGGGTGATTTGTCTTCTACTGCTCTTTCTCTCTCTATCTGAATGGTTACTCAGCTTAACCAGATTAAAGATCTTTAGGAGAAAGAGAAATCATCATGCTTCAAGACTTAGCTCAGTCTCTAGTCACTGTGGGTGGAGGTGGGAGATCAGCCTTTAACTACTGGAGAATAATCTTAACTGCAGGGTTATCCTATGGACTGCTTCTGACTCTCGAGATAACTTGTAGCCCCCAAGCACCTGGCCCGGGTGCTGATTCTCACTACTGTCCTGCTGCTGCCACTAGGTTGTCTGGGATTCCCCTTTCTCTTCCAGATTCCACTTCCTGCCCTGCCTCTAGGATGGGCCAAGGGAGCCTTCAGGGGGTACCTGAGACCCCTACATAGCATAGCAGCACTGGTACACAATGCAGCAGAGGAGCCCACAATGCAGCTGGCACAGCTGCTACCAGGAAGGCCTGTAACCTCCAGCCACTTAAGTTGACCAAGTCTGGCTTATGGCAACATTTGCTGCACACTCATGAAGCAATCACTGATCTCTGGAGAGAGAATATGGAATGGGCTATGCTACTGGTCTCATCAAACAGCAGTACATCTGTTTACAAACAGAAAGCTAGCTTCCTGCAGATTGTACTTAAACATTTGACTGGCTTTCTTGGATATGTTTTTGTTAATTATAATGCTTAATGAATGTCCTATAAAAATGAACATACCATTTTGTTGGGAGAGCAGTGTCTAATGATTTTAAAACCTTTCTTTTCTGTGCAGTTAACAAATATTTAAGCTCTGAAAATCCACTGTTCTTTGAACTACGTGCCAGATACCTTATTGCTTGTGAACGCATCCCAGAGGCAATGGCTCTTATCAAAGCTTGCATAAATCATCCAGATATCAGTAAAGATCTGTATTTCCATCAAGCTCTTTTCACCTGTCTTTATATGTCGCCATTAGAAGATCAGCTGTTCCAGGAGGTACTGTGTGTTAGTATAAATTTGTTATGCCTATAAATTACATTTAAAGTTGTCAAGGCATGTGAAATTTTATCCATAGCATAACCAGATGTCATAACGTCTACCAGATTGATATCGGCTTGCATTTATTTTCCTAGGACCAAAGTCTGCTGTAAGTGAAGTGCATATAACTCTTATTGACTTCATTGAACGTTTACACATTTAAAAAACAATTTCTCTAACATTTACAATTGCTGAACTTCTTGAATCTTCGAAGTTATAGTACCTTTTATTTCAAAGTAGTACCACAGCACAAGAGACTTAAATCTACATGACTTTCAGTTTTTGGGTTTTTTTAATACCTTGTCCAGTTGCTTAAGATGTGAAAAGTCTCTCATTTCCTGTTGGCCGGATGATGTTCACTTAAGCACATGCCTTTTAATACTTAAAGCTCACGATGGCAATTTCTCTATCTTCTGTCTTTTTGCCAAAATCAAGATGAGTTTGAAGAGGCCTTTCAACACTTGTCCTCGCAGTGCCTATGAATACACATTTTTATACCAAAATCTCATTGCAAATTTTACATATCTGATAACATCTAATGAACTTTTTTTAAATTTGAAATTTAACTTAAATGATACAAATATTTGTGAAACTCTTGCCTAAGAAACCCTGTGTCAGTAGCAGTTTCTCTATATTTCAGTGACTGCTTTAGCACAGCTAGGTTTGATCGTATGTTTCCTGATAGTAAATTTATCTAAATTGGTCTTATTTTAATTGCCTAGCACTTGCTGAGGACTGATTGCAGGAGTGGAATTGAGATCATCTGCAACACTGAAAAAGAAGGGAAGACCACCTTAGCCTTACAGCTATGTGAATCGTTCCTTGTCCCACAGCTTCAAAGTGGGGACATGTATTGTATATGGTAAATACTTTATTTCTGATGAAACAGCTTGGCAGATGAAGAATACTTAATGTAAAAGTGGCACTGGTGTTAACTTTAAGGCTTATCTAAAATTTAAAACTGCCTATGTAACTATTTTACTTGGTATGCATGTTGGACATTTTGTCTTTTATACAATTCATATCTGTAATGGAAGAGGGCTTTTGTAGTAAGCATGATATATTTGCTATATTGGTAACTTCAGACTAGTAAAATATAATCTTTTTAGTTAGTAAATTGTGGTAAATATAGGCTGCCTTAAGTCTGGCACCCTAAATTGTTTGCTGTCCAGCCTTTTTAGATAGGCAGGTTGATATTATAGTAGCTACCCTACAATTTACTATGAATGTCTATTTTATTGTTTAGAAAAGACTGAACTGTATGCTGTGCAAACCTACTATTCTTAATTCTAGTCTTGTGCATTTCTTTTAGTTAGGGTAGTACAAATCCTGTTACTCCAGAACATGTCAGATACCTTATTGCGTGTGAATGTATCCCAGGGGCAATGGCTCCTTTCAAAGTTTGCACAAATCTTCCAGTAAAGATCTGTACTTCCATCAAAATTATACCACAAAGTTAGATCGCATCATTTTAGAAAAGAAACAAGTCATTCAAATAAGTCTTCAGCCTGCAAGATGGCCTGAGGTTTTTTTTTTAAGTTAATTTGTTTTCTAAAGAGAACCACTACAATTAAAAAAATTCCAACCTCTAAGATCTAAAAGGTTTCTGATGGAACTAATCCCTTTGCTACCTATAAAATTCCTTCTGTTAAATCTATAAAGTGATGTGGCTTTAATAAAGATCCTATAATTTTGCCCGTGCTTAAGGTGTTTAGAAGGCAAGACATTTTGCTGACCCTTATTAATCTGCTTTGTGAATGAAGGAAGGGTTTAAAATCAGATTGAAAAAGACCAAAAATTTTCCAATCTCAAAGATTTGACTTCCTGATTTATCAAGAACAACCAGTGTTTAGACGCAAGAAGTTTTGCTTTTGTAGGAGAGGGTCCAGCAAGGATTATATATGGAAAATGCTTTATTTTTTCCACTTAAAATTTATATTACAACTTTTCTTGTCTTGATCATGAAACAGGAAGCTAAAAATATGAACCTAAAATAGAGCCCTTTTTGTGTTCAGCCTATCAGTATTAATACAGTACATCAAGAACAGTAACTGTTAAATGGTGTTAATCTTTACACTTTAAAAAAAGTGTACAAAGAAGAGGATATGAGAACTGTTTTGCATTTGGGGAAACTGAGGCAGTGTGAAGTGACTTATCCAAGGTCATCCAGTATGACAGCAATGGAACCCAGGTGTCCTGAATCCCTGTCTAGACATTTATTCTGCCAGACTGCACTATCTCAGTCAAGTAACTTAAATTTCATGGCGGGGAAAAATCATGTTAAATATTTTGGTCTTCGATTTTGAGTAGAAGTAGTCTCTCTTGATCTTTGATCTTGAAAATTTGGCAGTAATAACTATATATGTGTTGTCATTGAGATTTTAATTATTATATCTAGATTATTATTGCATGAGACGCCCTGAATTTTTTTGTTTTAAATCCACACGAGATTTCCTTATCCTGAAGTCCATGTTTCTGAACTCATGCAAGGCAGAACTTTGCTAAGCTTAGATGTATGGAATTTCAGAAGATGTGCTTGATACTATATCATCTCTTTATTATAAGAATGTATTTTTACCGTTTTCTAGTGCATTTACCTCCTTCTTAGAGGCAGCAAATATCTGGACTTCCTAAAGGTTCTGGAGCAAATAATTGCTTCTGTGCAACTGTAACAAAATATTTATCTGTTGCAATTGTGGAACCTGTAGAGTAATTCTTATATCCCTCCAGTTCAGTTATGAAGGACAACATTTATTTAAGAGATGCAAGAACAGCAGTGTCAATGTGCTAGTGCTGGTGGTAATAGGGTTCAAGATATAGTACCCCAAATCTCAATGCTTTCCCCCAGAGACTTGGCATATGTAGGATCCCTGCTATGAATGACATAAAGCATCCTACCCTAGGTCAAAACCCAGGATATTATGGATTAGCAAAAAAAGAACTCCCTGGGGCCAGCAGGCACTTGCAGGGATGATATTACAAGAGAATTGGCTTCATAAAGGCAAATAATATTGTTAGCACTTAATGGTGCCTTTATATCTTAAGCGGCTTCTACCAAGATCATAGACCTCTTTGCATGTGTGTGCATATTACTCTGGAGGAGGTTGGCCCTTGAGCCATTCTGTCCCTGGACTGTATCATTCTAATAAACATTTAGAAATAAACTACCAAATGCTTTTGATAATTCATTATAGCTACTATGGGTATATCTTGCCTGAAACTAAAACCCATGTGTAGGTGCTTCATGCAGGCTGCATTGGTCTCTCCAGGGGCAGTTGCATACAAATGTTGGGGAAAGGTCAATCTTTAATACACTATGACTGAGGATCTTCAGGGACCCAGTATTCCAAAAGATGATCCCAGTTCAAACTGGCAACCAGAATGTTTACATAAAAAATCTATGCAGAACAATATCATGCCCTCATTAGGAAACCTTTTGGGTATGTAAATAGGCTGTTCCCCAACATTTTTCATGGTCATTTGTTTGGCAGAAGAGTGAACTGTTGGCGTGTTTATCACATGGTCATTAGCATTAAGACTGTGTAATAGTGAATTGGATTTTTTTTCGTGTTGAGTGAACTGAGTGGGCGCTTGCTAAGACATTCTGTGTTCTGCATGTACATTCTAGTAAGCAGATATTTTATGCATCTGCCAGAAATAAGCATATGCTTCCCTTTCTTCTTAAGGCTTGTAGCAAAGAAGGTTGAAAAGCTTCAAATCATGCATATTTATTTTTAAGGATGGCCATAGCTGTTCACATCATGTTCGGTATTTGCTCAGAGAACTGGGCAGCTTTTGGATCTTATCTTGCATTTCAAAGCAATCCAAGTGGTATAGGAGTTTAAGTCCCATTTTCAAAGCTTTAGCTGAAGCTTAAATCACTGAAGAGCTTTAAGGTATCTTTGCAGTGCACACTACCCTCAAGCCATCTTGGAAATAAGATAGCCAGCAGAAAAGCTTTTTGACAGGGTAAATTAATCTGCACCAGGGTCAGCATTGCTGTGCCTAGACTGCTACCTGTATCCAAAGTACCTTGCATCTCTTGGTGCTCTTCTGCCAGATACTCAAAGAATAATGACTTTGAATGGTCTTCCAGTTCCAAAGTATTAGGCTCCTGATGCTTTTAGGAACATTTAAGTCCTAGTCAAAAGCCATCCTACAAAGGAAAAATCTAGCTGGTAGGCAAAAATAACTAAAACAAAACAAAAATTAAGAGGAGAAAGTTCAAAGACCTTTACTTTCAGTGAATGTTTGTGTCCTTCACCAGCTGCTCATTTTGTTCTTTCTTTGCTAGTTACAAACTTTTTCTTGAAATAGCTGCTTTGAATGTTTAGGTAGTAACCAAATTACTTCTGAGCCTTTCACACGAAGTTAATTAGGGAGACATGAACTATTTGTGATATGCTAATGATGCTGGCAAAGCTGAGCATGCATCTTGTTTAGGGTCCTTAAGACAGTTTTTTCCTCAGTCTGGTAGAACAGCATGTACTTGTTGCAAAAGAGTGGGCTCTGTCAGTCGAGGGTTTTTGGCTGGTTTTGTGTTATAGCTAATCCCTAATATGTTCAAGCTAAATGTATTGGTCGCTCTTTTTTACTTTATTCATTTTCCTAATGTTGAGACCTGTTACTAAAATAAGGAAAACTCCATCTAATTCACTACATGCTAGCTAAAGTTTTACTTTTATTCTTTGCATAAGTAATTTACATTCCAAGTTTGCAAGATTCAGGATACAAAGGCTGATCCAACTTTATGTGCATTAAATGTTAAATAGTGCCATGGGGACACTCACATTTTTAAAGTAATATTGTTCTATCATGCTCGGCGGCAAACCTCAGACTTCTGTCTGAAGTCTCTGTAGAAAGTCGGCCAAATGTTCTGTTTCTGTACTAATGCTGATTCTACTTTCATCTTCTGCAGAAGAAGAAATGTGAATGGGATTCCCCGTTGCATGTCTTGCAGGGAAGTAATAGGTTAATCTTTGTAGACTGAGGAAGAATTGTTGGATTTCAGTTAGAACATTATGGAACTTCTTTAGGGATTAAATATATGGAACTATCCCATGACAATCCCTGTAGCTGTTTCTACAGATCTATATATATTTTTTTGAAAGGTAGCTTTTATATTGGATCCATTTTTTTTTTTTCCTTTCAACTCATTCACATTGCTCCTCTGCTTCTATGAAATTTTCAACTGTCCAGTTATCCTAGTGAAAATGGCCTGTAAATTACACGTTGTCATGCTAAGTAACGATTCATTAGATATCACCCTTTCTATTATTGTCTGTCATCCAGACCAGGGACCAATCATCCATTACTTTGACAGGATTTCATTCTGCTGCACCTATCTATGGCACAGATCATCCTTTTTACTCCGTGCCTCTTGAGATTGGTCAGGATTTTTTTTTTCTGGTTTTCTTCTGTATGTGCAAATGACATATTTGAGAGAGGAAATCCTCAGCAGATGGACTTGATAATTTCATATACTTGTTCTAGACTAGAAGAGTTAATGGCATGACTGAGCAGAAAAAGACAATGCTGGTATAACACGCGTGCAGATGGTAATTAGTACATTTCTTCTAACAGTGGAGTAGATCAGAAAACTTGTCTCCATCTTGCTTCTGTTTTACATCCTTAAACATTCACTTTTCCCAAAAGTCTCTCTAGCCTTATACTGAAAGTAATTTTAATTCCAAAACATTTCCATACTCATCACAGCTGTCTTCCTGCCTCATTGTTTTAGGTAGGAAATGGTAAATGCTGGAAGCACTTTCATTGTTGTTGTACGGAGCTCTGCAATACTGAACTAGATCCATTAATCTTCCTTTGCATATTTTATTGGATCAGTGATAAGAGATACCTTGGATGCTTTAACGTAGTGGTTAAATTACATTTTTCCACTGTGCCGCTTAGTGTATATAGTTGTAGTTTAAATTAGCTTGGTATTAAATCTTCAAATAATTATAACATGTAAATAACAGTTGATATAATATACTATATAAAAATATAGTTAAATAGTTATTATAAAATATAATAACACTTATAACATGTAAATATCAGTTGAGCTGTTTGTAATGCACATTGGTTAGGGATAGCTTTGTTTAAACTATGGCCCAACAAAACTGTTTTGTTTATATTTACAGGGACCTCATCTTCATCTGGAGTAAACTACAGCTTAAATCTAATCCATCAAAACAAGTATTTGTTGACCAATGCTACCAGCTTTTAAGGATAGCTACAAATGTCAGAGTCATTTTCCCTTTTATGAAGGTCATTAAAGATGAAGTAAGTAGTGGTGTTTTTCCTTATATTACCAATTTGATTGGGAAGTAAATTGTCACCATAATTTATGTGCTGGCCCATTGCAGTCTGGGGAGATGAAGGGAATATAGGCAGTATTAACTTGAAACCTGATGAAATCCCATCCCAGGAAGTGAGCTGGTATAGTATTGCCTTGGGTAGTATATGTGATTCTGAGATCCTTCATCTGCTTTGGTGGTTTTACAACTATTTTTATTTTTAAAATTGTTTTTGTTATGTTGCTCTTTGCTTAGCGAATGCCAATATAAACAAAAGGGTAACTGACTTAATTATAAATGTACATACAAAGTATAAACTTAAGTATTTTGCTTTAGTCTTCCAACCATAATTATCTCAGGTGTTACTTATTGGGACAGTAACGTACTCTTGCAGAAATCTGATCCTTTAATTAGGCTATGATGGTTTTTAAAATTGCTCCGCAGCAATTGGAGTATAGTAAATATTAGTGGGATATCACAATGCAGTATATGAGCATATAACAATATTAATAACAGTTGTAAAATGTTGTGGTGAAAAGATTACATTTCCAGGGATAAAATACTTGAACATAATTTTTTTCATTGTTTTCTTATATCTCCAAACTAGAAGATGGATGTGTCTTGTTTATTTGTTTTTACCTACATGAAGAAAACTTTATAGCATTTTTCAGTGTTGATTTTTCTTCATTTGGCAGGGGTTCAACCATTAATTTCAAATAAATCTTCTTTTGATTGATTGCTTTCATTTTATTTCTTTTTGTCACTTGATGTCCACTGAAAACAAAAACTGCATTTGCCTTTTTAATGCTGTACAGGTTAAAATGAGAACTAAATTAAACCAAGATAAGCACACCTTGAAGGAAAACACTCCATTGTGCTTCTGTAGTTCTAGAATCTGTGAAGGCATATTAAAGGAACTGTCCACTTGCGCTATGAAATACTATGTTTAATCAGGATGGAGATAAAAGAATATTGCTTGGCGTAATTCTCTGCGTTAATACCTTTCAAAACGGTTGCTAAGACTTTCCCAAATGTTTTTTTTTTCTCTCTCTAACTACAGAAATACACATTGCTAGTGAATCTGAAGCAGTGTAGCCTGCTGTGGAAAATTGCTGTTCTGCATAGGCATATTTGTGGCTTGTCTTATTTTTTAAAATCTGCATCTAAACAGGATTTTAAATTTTTAATTTTTTAACTAAGATTGTTTTGACCTCTTAAAATTCTTGCAAATAGTTAAATACAAACTTAGTACATATTAAAATAAGTATTTTAAGTGTTTGCTTTTGTCCTTTTTCGTAGTTTTATTTTGGAGTCAGATATGCTGCTTAGAATTAAGCAAGCAGAAAATAAAAACAGGATATATTCAATAATCATCTATTGATTTATTTATTTTCTTTTGCAGGTGGGAGAAGATGGTTTGCAGATTTGTGTTGAGATATGTGGTTGTGCCCTGCAACTGGACCTCCGTGATGATCCAATAATGAAAAGTCTTATATATAAAACAATTGCTCATTTTTTGCCAAATGACTTGGAAATCCTCAGAATTTGTGCGCTTTCTGTCTTCTTTCTTGAGCGTACCTTAGAATCGTACTACACCGTTGAGCGGCTATATAAATGTGCAGATGAAGAGTATAATGAGCGTGCTAGTTCTGTACAGAACCGTGTACGTTTTGAATTGCTTCCAATTGTGAAAAAGGGTTTGTTTTTTGATCCTGAGTTTTGGAATTTTTTGATGATCAAGCAGAACTGTTTAGCACTATTGGGCGATAAAGCCTCTGTTGGCTTAGGTGAAAGTACACTGGAAAATTCTGCTGCAAATACAGAGAAACTGACAGAACATCAGTCTTTAGGTGAAGATCATGTCTGTTTAGCAGATCTAAGCAGTGGGGAGTTCGACCCTGAAGACCTTTCTGGAGCCCAATCCAAAGGTCATGGTAATGCCAAAAAGAACTACGCAGCTCTTGGAGCAGCATCGAAAATGATAGATCACAATGTACCAAGGCACCGTTGTGTGTTATGCAACAAGGAGTTTCTTGGCGGTCATATTGTAAGGCATGCACAATCTCACCAGAAAAAAGGAAGCTTTTCGTGTGTAATTTGCAGTAGAAAGTTTAGGCAAAGAGGACTCATGTTGAAGCACTTAAAGAATCATGTCAAGAAAATACAAAGACAGCATCTTGCTGTAGTCCAACAGGAGGATTCAGAAACCCCTGTTTTAAATGAATTGAATTGTTCTGAGGCATCCATCTCTTTTGAAAATGGAAGCTCTGACAGTTCTAAGGATAATGAACCAGAGGTTGCAATAATTCCAAGTGCTGATACAGAAGCAGACAATCCTGAGCCGGTATCAGATGTGGTTGAAAATCATGTAAGCGAACAGGATGATGTTGTTGAGAATGGCAGTTATGACAGCTATTTAAATAATACTCTTGAACCTTTAACTACAGAGAGTTTGCCTGAGAGTGAAGAAAGTCCAAATATGGAGTCTCCTATACTTCATAAAGTAAATGGAGCCTTGTGCTCTCAAAAGGATCTGGATGTTATGGATCAAGAGGGAAACTTTAAGTGCCCTGCCAGTGGCTGTGTTAGGGTGTTTAAAAAGATAAGATTCCTCAATAAACATGCAAGAAAAGCTCACCCGACTGATCTGAAGGTGCAACAGCATATAATGAAGTGGAATAAAGGAAAGTGTCGGTTCTGTCAGAGAAAATTTGCTGATTCTCAACATTTTATAGATCACCTAAAACGACATGTATATCCAAATGTTTACTTTTGTTTACATGTTAACTGTAATCAGAGATTTAAGCTGTCCACGGAACTTGCAGAGCATACAAAAAGTCACGATGTTTTTAAGGCTCAGTGCAACTTCGCAGAGTGCTGTGAGCTTTTTGAAGAGCTTCCTTTGCTATATGAACATGAGGCTCAGCATTATTTAAACAGAACACCAGAAAGTTCTGAGGAAGTAAGTGAAAAAATTTCTTCAGATAATCTTTCAGAATTACATTGTGATTCCACAGAAAAGGATGCATCTAGTAATGAAAAAGAAACTGTAGATTTACCTATTCCAACTTGGAAGGCAAGGAAAGACTCTACAGAACCAAAGACATATATCCAGAGTGTTGAGAAGAAAACAAACAATATCCTTCTGAATGGAAATGAAAGTTCCGATGTTAATGCTACGTTTTTAAGCTTGCTAGACCAAAAGACACCTGTGGTACAGCCAAATTCTGAAACTTGCAGTGTTGTTAGTGACCAATTAGTAAATGGGCACAGTGAACTGGAGCAGACTACTTCAGCTTCATCAGATATGCCTTTGGACAGAGTGGCAGATGAGACAAGGACAGAAAATGGTTCGCTTTTACCAGTTTTACAGAATTGTTATGATATGCCACAAAACAACATTGCTGCAGTTTCTCAGTTACCTTCCAAACCAAATCAGACAACAGAAAATACTTCATATGGCTTAATATTAACAAAACCATATGTTAGACCATTGCCTCCCAGTTACCTTGATGAACGATACATAAGCATGCCAAAACGTAGAAAAACTTTGACTGATAAAGTAGACGCTCATTCTGAGCAGGATAAAGTTTGTAGCAAATCGCCAGAAAGATTTAGATGTGGCAACTGCCTGACCACCTACTGTAACTCGGAAGCACTTGAGGCTCACCTTGCACAAAAGAAATGTCAGACGCTCTTTGGATTCGATTCAGATGATGAAAGTAAGTCTTGCAATGTTTCTAGATGCATACATTTAGACCAGGGGTGGGCAAAATGCGGCCCGTGGGCTGGATGTGCCAGGCCATTCTGTCTGGCATGCGGGGTCCCTAAAAAAATTTAGAAAATTGACAGGAGCCAGGGGCAGTGGGACCCAGAAAAGCCATGGTAGGCCCACCTTGCCCTGCCCCCCCCCAGGTAGGCAGGGGCTTCTGGTCTAGGACCGTGGGGCTGTTTGTGGCTGAACCAGCACAGGAAATTCAGGTAAGGAGAGGGGGGGAGGCAGGGAAGAACCATGGGGATTGCTCCAGTGATGTATTGGGACTGGGCCAGCTCCTGCTGAGACCCATGGTCCGGCCATGTAGCTGGGATCCGACAGCCGGGCAGGAAAGCGGTAGCTGGGGTGGAATGGAAGCAAGCAGCATGTGGGAGCACAGAGCTAGTGCCAGCAGGGCAGTAGGAGCTCAAGGTGTGGGCTGGCAGGAGTGGAGTCGGGCTGGGCTGGGCTGGGCTGCACCACCAGGGAGAGAGGGGAGCTGACCTAGCTCCATAGAGCCCCTGCTGGCCAGGACCCTGCGGTCCTGCTATCCTGCTCTGGGCCCTGCCAGTGCTGGCCCTGGATATTCACGTGGGCCCTGCACTCTCACCTGGCTGCCACTGGCTCCCATGGACCTGCTCACTCCAAGTGCCCCTGCCCAAGCCCTGCATTACAGGTGGGGAGCAGCATGCAGCCCTGACCCTGCGCACAACTACGCTTGCCTATTCGGACTGAGCAGCGGTGGGGGGAACGAACTGGTGCTCAGTAGGGCTGTGCGAAATGCCATAGTTTCATTTTGACATCCATTTTGCCCTTTCGAAGGGATATTGTTTCATTTTGTTTTGAAGCACTGTCCCATTAAGTTTCATCGAAACTGTTGTGGTGTTTCGATGTTTTTTTGTCATAGGCTATAATGGGGAATCATGAGAGTGGCTAAAACTTTGTAATTTCCTGCCTGATTCAGATGAAATTGCAGGGATAGTAGCCCCTTCTGAGGGCATGAAGTCTGCCAAGTTTCAAGGAGATAGGTTTCAAGGAAAATGCACCTCAAAATCTTGAAAGCAAAACTTGTGACGCTTGCTGGCAGCAGCATGCACAATGTGGAGATTAGTAAACTTGAGCTTGAGTATAAAGCTAAGTTAATATTATGGAAATATAAAGGTCCTTCAGCTGTTAATGTGCCTGAAGAAAATTTGAGAGCTGATTTGAGACCAGAGGTTTCCTTGAAAATGCACCTCAAAATCTTGAAAGCAAAACTTGTGACGCTTGCTGGCAGCAGCAGCCTCCTGTCATCCGGTGTGCAGATCTGCGGGCCTGCACCCCCAGGAGTGCTGCAGGGCTGTGCCAGACTCCTCCTGGGGGTGTAGGCTCCTGGATCTGTGCTGGATGACGGGAGGCTGCTGTTGCCATCTGGGGCTGGCAGCCCGCACCCAGCGCTGCGGAAACCTGATGCTGTCACTGGCCTCAGGCAGCAGCGGCAGCCTCCTGTCATCCGGCATGCAGATCTGGGGGCCTGCACTCCCAGAAGGGCTGTGGGGCTGTGCCAGATTCCTCCCGGGGGTGTGGGCCTCCGAATCTGTCCCAGATGACAGGAGGCTGCCACTGCTGCCTGGGACTGGTGGGGGGCACAGCCCACACCCAGCGCCGGGCTCCATGGAGCTCAGCCCAGCGGTGGGAGGTGGAGCACAGCCCTGACTCTGCCTGCCTCCCGCCACTGGGCTGAGCTCCATGGTGCTGCGGAGCTGCAAAGAGCACAGCCCTGGCTCTCCCCTGCCTCCCGCCACCAGGCTGCTTTAAAACTCAACTCAAAATGTTTTGAGTTCCCTCATTTAGTTTTGAAGCTGCTTCAAAGCTTTTTGTTTCGTTTCAGTTTTGCTGTTCCGAGCTCAAAACGTAGAAACAGTTTCAAAACAAAACACTTGGTGAAATTTCGCACAGCCCTAGTGCTCAGCATAGGGGAAAAGTGTCCGTCCGTCCCCCCCCTCCCAGTGGCTGGCACTTCCTGCTGCAGCCACTCGCAGCCCTTGTGGGGCTGTCCTGCCTCTCTGCCACATCACCGGTGACAATGGAGAACAGGCACGAGCAACCCCCTATGGGCTCCGAGCGGTTGCAGCATGGAGCGCCGGCCCTGGGGAGAGGGAGTGGCCACTTTTCCCCTGTGATGAGCAGCAGTTTGTTCCCCACTGCTGCTGCTGGCCTGGGCCCTGCGCCAGCTCCAGTCTCACCCATTGGGGCTGAGCTGCAGGAGCAGCGGCTGGGCAGGAACTGCTGCTCAGCACGGAGGAAAGCACCCCCCCGCTTGCCGCTGCTGGGCAGTGTTTGCTGTGGCTGCTTGCCCAGAGCTCACACTGCGCTAGGCTGTGGTGCAGCTGCTTCACCACCACCTCTGTGCTGCCTGTGGCTTTTCCACATGGCCAGTGCTGCTGCTCTGTGGAGCCAGATCGACTCCTCCCTGTCACTTCTGGTGCAGCCTGGACTGGCTCCACAGACCTCTGGCAGGTCATACCCCCTGCTCCTACTGCCCCACTTGGGGCCCTGCCAGCACTGGTCCTGGGATATTGGTGCAAGTCCTGTGTTCCCGCTCACTTCCATTCCTCCCCCCGCCGCCACTTTCCCCACTTTTTCCTGCCTTCTGGCTGGTCACTCTGCACTACATGGCTCCCATATCCACATACCCCCACAGACTCCCATATGTAATGACTTCTGCATATGCAGCACAAATGCACACAAATCAGGACAAAAATGTATTTTTTAATTAAATTAAAATACATTATTTTGGGTGTTTGATTTTTAGTATGTAACTAGGTTTTTTTTCCCCCGCCCCTGAGCTGGCAAACCCTTTTCCCCAAAGTAGTACTTCCAGCGACAAGGGGAGGGACTTCCAGTGGCAAAGGTCAGAGATTAGGGGCAGGATTTCTGGTCCCAAGATGGCTGCCAGGGAGTGGGGCACCTATCAAGGGGCAGGGCTACCCATGCAGCCCTCAACAGCTTACCAAAACTCAGTAAGTGGCCCTCTGCCCGAAATAATTGTCTGCCCCTGATTTAGAGGGAGATGCCAATGGAAAAAGTAGTAGTCCTGGAAAGCAGCCAGATAGAAAGGCAGAACAGCTGTAGATTAATACCACCTGTAAGCAAATTGAATGTGCTAGAATATACCAGAAGGAATATAATTGGAATGATTAGTAATACTTTTGGGGGGAAAAAAGAGGTAAATATTCTATTAAACCAGAAGATAAGCTCAGCCAAGCTAAGTGTTTAGGAAAAGAAAGGTAAACAAATGGACAGCTTTGATGAAAGAGCCTTCATGAAAGACACATTGGGGTACTTTATACCTTTTCTCCTTCTATACTGAAATGAGGCAAATTTGATCAACATGTACAAAATTTCAAATTAAAGCATCATTTGTACAGGATCAAGATAAAAAGTAACCAACATGATCTATTTTACAGGTGCCTGATTAAATGTTGTGGGAAGATGCATCAAACTTGGAGTGGTGTGAGAAAACACTACATGAAGAAGCATGAGTTTGCTGCTTCCCAGTTGGCCTTAATCATAAAGCAGTCTCAAATTACTAAAGAAACACATGACCTTGATAAAAGACAAAGCACATTTTCTAGACAGAACTCACAGAGGAGTAGTGGGAGCTGTGCAGATTTTGAGTCCAGAAAGGTTACTACAAAGTCCCCAAAGTACCAGTTATCCAGACAGCCACATAAATTCCTAATGTATGATGGAAGGACAGCAGCACAATGTGTCCAGCTTGAGGGCTTAAGAAAACTAATAGTCAGCTGGGCAGAGAGACAAGAGAAGTGGTTTATTGCCTTATCAAAAAAGCATCTGATACCTGTGTAACTGGCTTAAAATGCCATGTTAAAAGAAAACCCTTTCCTCTCCATGCACATTCAAAGGATGTCTCTTCACCTTATCAAAAATAGGTGATTTAGAGGGAGACGTTGTTAATTGTCATGGTATGGAAAAAAAATGATAGATGAAACTCATTTTTTATTCAAAGCTGGGTTCTCTTAATCCTTTTTCCACTAAAAAGAATGGAGCTTATTTTACAGTTATATTCAGAATCCATAATGGAGTGTGGTGAGGAAAAATGCAGATGGACAGCACTGTCAAGTTGCCAAAAAATTGAAGTTGGTTGTATGCAAGGGAAAATGTTTTGGTATGACATTAAATATATCAGTTGTACAAGTTGCACTTAAAAGAAGCCTTTTTTTCAGGTATATGGCAAAACTACAAATTACTCCTGGAAATTTTTAAATGAAAAATCTCTAAAAGGCACAGAGAGACTTAATATCAGTAATACTTATACAGCTTGTACAGATACTAACATGCAGGTTGAGACTAAACAGTGAAGGCATGCACATTGTGAAGATTGGTGAACTTGAGTATAAAGCTAAGGTAATATTATGCTACGGTAATATAAAGGTCCTTCAGCTGTTAATATGCCTGAAGAAAATTTGAGAGCTGATTTTTCTGTAGAAACAGGAATTAAATGAATACAAAGCAAGACTCCAGAGGGCAAGGCAAAATAGAATGTTATTTAGGAGAAATAGATCAGGAAGCAACTTCTGTACACATATAACATCAGCTAGTGATACATCGCTGAGTTTTGATTTACCAGCTAATGGTCAGTCATCTGATGAAGGGATGGGAACATGTAAGAGTGCAGCCTGAAAGCACATTACAACTCCATCTAGTTCTTATTGAAAAGGTGGCAGTTTTTACTAGAAACCAATCAAGGAGTCTGGCAGTGAAAATGAAATTCAGTGTTAAGTACTGGGGCCAACAACTTGCTGTTGACAGAACTGACACTGAAAAAGGGTCTGTCAGGATAAAAACCGCTGTGCCTTCATCAGTATGTAACTGATCTCAACATAGGATATCCAATAATGAAATGCTGCTGCGAGCCTTCTTCAAAAGACAGTGTGGCAACTCAGATTGTCCATTGCAGTGCAGATTTACCCTCTAACAAACTTGATTTTGTAGATGATACAAAGTTTATTTCAATCCCTGCTTGGTGCATTTAGCTAGAAGTTTGGATGTATTTATAGGGATAAAAGCTATACCAAACAGTCAATACTTAACAGTAAGATAAGCCAACATGCAACAGCTGTCCCTGGTCCATTAATTAGCTCCCTCAATGCTTTATCACAACGCGAGTACAGCATAGGGAGGCAGGCAGTCAGCTCCCTTACCCAAGAGATGTGAGAACTAACATGACTCAATTTAAGATATGCCTAAAGGATCTGTTAATTGTAGCAACAACTCACTTTATGCAAACTAAAGGGTTTCATTATGAAATGGGCTTTAAAATATTTCTGGCACTTGAAACTCAATAGTTTAATAATGCCTCTGCTAGTTATCCTCTGTGAAATCAAATATATGTTTGTATTACTTCTCCCTCCTTTCCCCCCCTCCCTTGGAGGAAAGAGAGAATGCTAATTCAGATTCTTGCTTTTTTTGACTCCTCAAAAATTATCATCTAATTTCAATTTAGCCCCAAGTAAAAAGGTATAAAATTATGATCACAGCTCTGTGTGCATTACATTAATACCAGTGTCTGGGCCATTTTTAGAGAGATCTGCATGACATTTGAGGCACCAAAGAATGGGTTTTTTTGCATTTACAAAATACTAACTGATAAAGTGCATCATATATATATAAAACTTCTAGAGGGTTTTTTTCTTTCTCTTTTTTTTTAAAAAAAAAAACAACAAAAAAACAACTGAGTGGGAACCTAGCCAGTCAAATGCACTTCAACATTTCCACTTGCTTACTCTAATGTTCTTGTCTAAAGTTCTGAGAACTGGATTGCCATGTTTTGGCATATTCCAGGCTCTGCTTTTTCTTTGCTTTACTTTGTTGTTAAATCTAGTTACATGGCTTACATAAGTTTGGGGAAAATCAAGTTAATTTTAAAATAATAAGTTTAAAAAAATAAAAACTTGGTCAGTAGGTATCAAAACATTTATGTATGAAATCTTAGGTGTACTTTAATCTTTGGTGCTTTTTTGCCTTTTTCTAAAGCTCCATGTGTTTGAAGATGCTTTAAAAACATGATTGAGATTTGTATTTTCTTTGGTTTTAAAGTGTGTAAATACCTGCATCTATGTACATGCATAAAACTGTGACCATAATTTTTTCTACCTGTGTTTTGAACTTGTTTTTGTTTGGAGATGCTTTTCTTGGATGCCACCATTTGTTTATACCGCGTGTTCAGTATATATGGTTTCTGAAAAATCTGGATTTATTTCACTTAAGTGAATAGAAACTGTCACCTACTGGACATCAGAAATGCATTAAATTGACTCAAGGTAGCAAGTGGCAGGTAGCATTTTTTGAGTATTGGCTTTAGTTTAAAAGATGTTGTTTCCCTTTCTGTAAAATGCTCACTAATACCTGTTAGTGGAGTATTAAACAACTGTGATTTGAAGAAAAATAACCTTCTTACATGATTTATAGGATTGTTGCATACAAGACACTGTCCTATATTGAGTTTGTACCTTTTATGTTTTAAAAAGGTTCCAAGTCAAAGATTTAGAATTTTTTCCCAAGTTTAAGCATCATGTCATGTGTATTACAATACTTTGAGACTATGGCTTTGATCCAACAAAGTACTTAGCTATCCGCATAAATTTAAGAATGCGGCAAGTCTCCTGC